GGAGGCGGCTGGGAGCCTGCCCACAGTGCCCTCCCCTGTCTCCTGCCCCATCCGCTCCTCACCCCACAGATGTCTCCCAGCTCATAGACACCATATGTGGGGTGGGGAACATGTCAGCTAACGCCTCCGCCCAGGAGAGGACACCCTGGCATGTCACTATCAAGGTAGGGAAGGAGGGCCAGGGCCGGGGCCGGGGCCGGTGCCGGGACGCACAGGTGAAGCGCCGTGGGCGAGGGTCCCTGAAGACCCCCTGCTCCCCTGCAGCCCATGAGCCGGGAGACCTGCCGGGGGGCCCTCATCTCGGACCAGTGGGTCCTGACAGCTGCTCACTGCTTCCGCCACGCTGACCAGGACCGCTCCCTGTGGAGGGTCGTCGTGGGTGAGGAAGGGCCCACCCCTGTGCCAAGCCCCTGCCCCTCAGGAGCCCTGGCCCGGCCTAACCTGCCACATTGTTCCCAGGGGATCCCAGCTCCCGCTTGGGCAAGGAGTTCCAGATTGAGCAGGTGGTGATCTCCGAACACTTTGACGTCTTTGCCAAGAGGCACCAGGGCATTCGGGAGTTCTACGGAGACGACATCGCCCTGCTGAAGCTGGCCCAGAAAGTGAAGATGTCCACCCATGCCAGGTGCTGGCACCTGGGGCAGAGCTCTGGGGCGCCCTGGAGGAGGGGGCACCCAGCACGGGCCTGTGTGACCCCCGCTTCTCCCCAGGCCCATCTGCCTTCCCTGTACGGTGGGGGCCAACCTGGCCTTGCGGAGACCCCCGGGCAGCACCTGCCGGGACCACGGTGAGAGCTGGGGCTTCAGGTCGGGGGAGCTGGGGCCGGGGCTTGGGGTGAGGACATGGCTGTGCTCCGGTCCCCAAGTCAGAAGCCTGGTCCCGGGTGAAGGGGCCAGCACCAGCCTCCCCCTCCTTGCCTGTAGAGAGCGAACTTCTGAACAAGCTGAGCGTTCCTGCTCATTTTGTGGCCTTGAATGGGGACACACTGAACATTAACCTCAAGACAGGGACAGAGGTGAGCGGCTCAGGTCTGGGCTGCGGGGGCGGGTCCCCCAGAATGTCTGTCTGCCCCTGCAGTGCTGGCTGCTTTCTCCATCTGAGAGAGGCACCCCGTCGCTCATCCAGCCTTCTCTCTCGCTCCACTCCTACTGCAGTGGACAAGATGTATTGAGGTCGTTGGCCAAGACAAAACCACGTTCCCCAACCTGACAGATGTCAGCGAGGTGGTGACAGACCAGTTCCTGTGCAGTGGGATGGAGAAAGATGACACCCTGCAGTGCTGGCTGCTTTCTCCATCTGAGAGAGGCACCCCGTCGCTCATCCAGCCTTCTCTCTCGCTCCACTCCTACTGCAGTGGACAAGATGTATTGAGGTCGTTGGCCAAGACAAAACCACGTTCCCCAACCTGACAGATGTCAGCGAGGTGGTGACAGACCAGTTCCTGTGCAGTGGGATGGAGAAAGATGACAATCCCTGCAAGGGTGAGGCCCCCCCCCCCGCCCCGCATTCTTGCAGGCAGGCCCCAGGGCCCGTGGCCAGCACACGGCCAGGACCCAGGACGGCGCACTGCCCTGCTGATGCGAGCAGAGCAGCGCGAGTCAGCGCATCGCCTGCCCCTTCTTTCTGCAGGAGAATCTGGAGGAGCGGTTTTCCTTGAGCGGAGATTCAGGTTTTTTCAGGTGAGAGAGGGGGAAGCTCGTGGGGACTGGGTGACAGGATCTGGGCCTCGCGGGGGGACAGGGAGGCCTTTGCAGGAGCCAGGAGGACGGGCTTGGAGCTGGGGCTGTGGCCGCCTCCTGTCCATGCTCTCTCTCTTCCAGGTGGGCCTCGTGAGCTGGGGTCTCAACAACCCGCTCCGTTGCAACAAATTACCTAGAGGCAAGGTCCTCCCGCTCCGCGACTTTCACATCAGCCTCTTCCGCCTGCAGCCCTGGCTGAGGCAGCACCTGGAGGGCGTCCTGAACTTCCTGCCCCTCTAGTCACGCCCATGGCCCCTTTGCTGTCCTCTCCCACGTCCTTCCTCTGCATTTCTGCCTTCAGACCCCCGACCCTCCTCACTCCTCACCCGGGCAGCGCCCACCACCCTCGGCTGTACCGACTCACTCTCCTTTCGCTTTCACGTGGAATTTCCCAGTTTTGGACATTAATAAAAATCGGATTTTCACATAGTCTGTGCCTCTGCCTGGGGGCGGGGAAGGCAGGAGTGATTCCAGGAACCGCAGGAGCAGGTCAGAGACCTTGCTGGACAAACAGGGACTCTGCTCCGCACTGGTCAACAGGGGGGCGGTCTGGGCTCTTTGGGGAGGATCTGTGGCGAGGGGAGCTGCTGAAGGGACAGTCCTGGATCCTGGGCAGCAAAGGGTGGGGCTTGCAGTTTCTATTTCCTTGACTGGCAGCTCAGTGGGGCTCTCCCTCTTGGACATTCCGGAAAGTGATGTGGGAAGGGCGGGCAGGGCGAGCGGCAGGTGCCAGCACTCCGATTGCATAAAAGGCTGGAGGTGTGGGGGGCAGGGGACGGGAGTGCGCCCTGGCCCAGGTCTGCAGTCTCAGCCTGGACGCTGAGCTAAATGGCCATGCAGCACCAGCCGGGGAAGGCCGCGCGGCCTCCAGCGCCAGCCCCTCGCCCGCCTCCCCGGGCCCCGCGGAGCAGCCCCTGCCCCTGGCTCTGCCTCGTAGCCCTGGTCCTGGGCCTCTTGCCTGGAGGTAAGCCAGGGTCACTGCCCCCTCCTGCTGCCCAGCATCCCTCCTGGGCCTGGCAGGCCAGGCTTTACCAGCCTGTCTTTTTAGGTGTGGGCACCACGCCAGTGTCCGTGGCTGAGCCCCAAAGACCCTGCTCTCTGGAGGGAGTAGAGATCAAAGGCGGCTCCTTCCAGCTTCTCAAGGAGGGCCAGGCGCTGGAGTACCTGTGTCCCCCTGGCTTCTACCCGTACCCCGTGCCGACTCGCACCTGCAGATCCACGGGGTCCTGGAGCGCCCTGCAGACCAAAGACCAAAAGATTGTCAAGAAGGCGGAATGCAGAGGTTGGAGGGCAGGGAGGGTGGCACGGCCAGCAGAGGGTTGGAGCAGGGCGGCCGAGGTCCCGACGAGGCTGATCCGTGTGAGGCCAGGCGGGCTGAAAGTTGGGCTGAGCAGGTGTAGGAGCTGCCCCGGGCTGGAGGGGGGAAGGCGGAAGGAGGGAGGAGGAGGGAACCAGGCGGCCCTGCAGCGGGCAGAACCCTCAGGAGCGGGAGGGAAGAGTGGGGGGCCTCCCGGGGGCTGAGGGGCCCTCCAGGGGTGGGGGAGACGCTGCTCCTGTGGGACCGAGAGGTGCTCGCTCTCAGTGACAGGGGCCTTGAGGCCGGGAGGGAGGCTCCAAAGGGCAGCCTGCCCCTCGCAGTGACTTCTACTTGTCCCTCCCCCAGCAATCCGCTGTCCACGACCACAGGACTTTGAGAATGGGGAGTACTGGCCCCGGGCTTCCTACTACAATCTGAGTGACGAGATCTCGTTCCAGTGTTATGATGGCTACACTCTCCGGGGCTCTGCCAATCGCACCTGCCAAGTGACTGGTCGGTGGGATGGGCAAACAGCCATCTGTGACAATGGAGGTGAGAAGATGGCTCCCCCACGGTGGCCTGTCCCCGCCGGTGCCGCAGCCTGAGGAACCCTGGTCACTCCTGGGCGCTGCCTTGCCCGCCGGGCCTCGGGCCTCACTCGTGGTCTCATGCCTCTGCAGCGGGGTACTGCCCCAACCCAGGCATCCCCATTGGCACAAGGAAGGTGGGCAGCCAGTACCGCCTTGAAGACAGCGTCACCTACTACTGCAGCCGGGGACTCACCCTGCGCGGCTCCCAGCGGCGAACCTGCCAGGAAGGTGGCTCTTGGAGTGGAACAGAGCCTTCTTGCCAAGGTGACCCTTGACCCATGCCCGCCCTCAGGTCAGGTCTGGCTCTCGGCCTCAAGTCCCCGTGCCCGGGCACTGCCTCCTTCTGTGCCAAACGTCCCTGTACAACTTACCGCTGAGCCCTTCCCACTCTGGAAACCCACCGCCCGCGTCTGGCCCCTGTGCTGCGGGCCCTCCCAGACATCTGACCTGCTCTCCTCTCCCAGACTCCTTCATGTACGACACCCCTGCGGAGGTGGCCGAAGCCTTCCTGTCTTCCCTGACAGAGAAGATAGAGGGCGCGGACGCTGAGGATGGGCACAGCCCAGGTGTGAAGGCGGAGTGGGAGGTGGGGTGGGAGTCGGGAGGGCAGGGGGTTGGGGGGCAGGGAGCCTGAGTGTCTGTGGGGCGCGCAGGTGAACAACAGAAGAGGAGGATTGTCCTGGACCCCTCGGGCTCCATGAACATCTACCTGGTGCTGGATGGATCCGACAGCATCGGGGCGCGCAACTTCACCGGCGCCAAGAATTGCCTGAAAGCCTTCATTGAGAAGGTGGAGCCCCTCCTTCAATGCGGGGACCCTGAACGGCCCTCACGGCCCTCACAGGACTAGCTCCCTGGTTGGCAGCCCCTCTGAGCCCCAGGGTTTCGGAAAATCCTCAGGTCCTAGCCCATCCTCCTTCCCCTTCACTTGAAGCAGTTTCTTCACCTGTAACCCAGACGCCCCTGAAAACCCCAGTGACCAGTCGGCCCTTGAGTCTCTTACCAGGACCTTCCCCGTCCCAGCTAAGTATTCTCCTTGCAATGCTATTACCCTTGATTCCCTCAGGTGGCAAGTTACGGGGTGAATCCAAAATACGCTCTAGTGACCTATGCCACCGACACCAACATTTTGATTAGAGTGTCCGACGCAGAGAGCAGCAATGCAGCCTGGGTCACAGAGAAGCTCGACAAAATCAGCTACGAAGGTCAGAAGTCATGGTGGGAAGTTCACTCCCTTTGGGGTCAGAGAGGTCAAAGGTTCAGGGGTGCTGTGTGAGACCGCCTGGGGACAGGGAGGACCACTGTGTAGGGCATGGTTGACAGCAGGGTCCTCGGAGAACACAGGTTAGTGGGAACCTGTTAGGGGCCGAGAGAGTCACTTTGCAAAGGGAAGTCAGTGGGATGACCATCAACTAAAAAAGTTGAACCATGTGGGATGTCGTGACAGGCCTCGGGGTTGAAGGGTGGCTTGGAAGACTGGGAGGTGGCAACCTCTTTCCTGCCCACAGATCACAAACTGAAGACGGGGACGAACACCAAGAAGGCCCTGCTGGCAGTGTACAACATGATGGGCTGGGCGGGGGACACCCCTCCCAAGGGCTGGAACCACACCCGCCACGTCATCATCCTCATGACTGACGGTCAGAAGGGCTCCCTCCTGCCCGACTCCCCACCCCTCACTCGTGTGTGGCCCTCCAGTCCACATGTAACATTAGGCTCATGGTGGGGGCCCCAAGCAGCAACAGGCCGGAACCATGTTGATCTTTTCTGTGACATTTTACAAGGAGGGACTCTGTGATCTGTCACTTCCAAACCTGCCTACCCAGCCACGTGCCACTCGGTGAGCCATCTGTCTGTCTGGACCCTCCTTGCCTCCCCTCACGGTCCGTCTCTTCCGTAGGCCAGCACAACATGGGCGGAGACCCGGTCCCTGTCATCCACGACATCCGGTCTTTGCTGGACATTGGCAGAGATCGCAAAAACCCAAGGGAAGACTACCTGGGTGAGTTTCATTGCCCAGGACCCAGCAGCCTGCTTTCCCAGCTCCTGCCCCTCCCAGGCATGGACCCTCACCCTCCCTTGTCTCCCTCAGATGTCTACGTGTTTGGGGTTGGGCCTCTGGTGAACCAAGAGAACATCAATGCTTTGGCTTCCAAGAAAGATAAAGAGCAACATGTGTTCAAAGTCAAGGACATGGACAACCTGGAGAATGTTTTCTACGAAATGATTGGTAGGCAGATGTCAGGAAGCCCGCTCTCCCAGGCCCTCCTTTCCGCTCCGCCCGAAGCCCTGGCTGCCTGGAAGGCCTCTCCTTGGCTCCACCGTAGTGTCGATTGCTTCCTGGCACTGTCCACTTAGAACCAGAGCTCCCAGAGGCCTTTCTGCAGCCCCGTTTTACAGATGAGGCCAAGAGACGGCAAACTAGTGAGCTGGGCCTAAAACCAGCCAAGTCTCCGATCTCAGTCTCAAATTCTTTCCCCTGTACCAGTGACTTCATGTCTTCAGTACAAGTAAACGCATGCCCTTGCCTCTCCTTTCTCCTCATGGGCCTCGGCTCCCATGGACATGGAGGCGTCCCTCCCCAAAGGTGCTGCCATTGGGATGAAGCGCCCCAGCTTTCAGCGCCCGCCCTTCCTTTGTTTCTAGAGGAAAGCGAGACTCTGGGTCTTTGCGGCATGGTCTGGGAGCACAAGGATGCTACCGATTACCACAGGCAACCGTGGCAGGCCAAGATCTCAGTCACCGTAAGCATGGCGTCCTGGGGGGAGGGCAGGGTGAAGTGGGAGTAGGGCACGGGCAGGGCCCATGCTAGGATTCAGTTGGTGAAAGAGCTTCCCCTCCGCCATTACCAGCGCCCTCCTAACGCACATGAGAACTGCATGGGGGCTGTGGTGTCCCCGTACTTTGTGCTGACAGCGGCACACTGCTTCACAGTGGAGGACCAGCTACACTCGATCAAGGTCAACGTGGGTAAGGATGATGCAGTGGATCAATTCTGAGCTCCACCCTCCAGCTAACACCTCCCACTTCCAGCTCAGTCCACTCACTCTCAATGTAGCTGATTCCTTTACACCAGGGGCGGGGAACATCTGGCCCATGGGCCATATAAGGCCCGCAAAATCATTTGGTCTGGCCCTGCCAAGGCATTAGAGAGGAGTTAAATATTTGACCAAAGATAGCAAGCTGTTTTTTGTGTTAATCTTCCCCTGAGGACATTTTTTCCACTGATTTTTTAAGACAGAGTGAAAGGGAAGGGGAGAGACAGAGAAACATTGATGTGAGACACATCAATTGGTTGCCTCCCAGGGGCTGGGGATCAAGCCTGCAACCAAGGTACATGCCCTTGACCGGAATCCAACCTAGGACCCTTCAATTCACAGGCCAGTGCTCCACCCACTGAGCCAAACCAGCTAAGGCCTAGCATGCTAATTTTTAATTTGATAATTTTGTATGGCCCATGGACGATGTTATAAATACCCCAATGGCCCTCAGCAGAGAAAGACCCCGCCCCTGCTTTCTATGCTGAAGCAGAGGGAAGGCCCCGAGCCAGAGGCAGGAGGCTGCCCGGAGAAGTGGGTGGCCCAGAGGTCCCCTCTCCTCTGACCGTAGGAGGAAAGAAGCAGGACTTGCACATAGAACAAGTTCTATTTCACCCCAAGTACAACATCAATGGGAAAAAAGCAGAAGGAATTCCGGAATTTTATGACTATGACGTGGCCCTGATCAAGCTCAAGGAGAAGCTGCAGTACAGCAAGACTCTCAGGTCAGGCGTCGGGCTCCCCGAGAGACTGAAAGGTGGGGCTGGAGGCCTGGGGTGCAGTTTGCCATCCGCTCCCTACCTCTCCTGAACAGGCCCATCTGTCTCCCTTGCACTGCGGCCACAAATCAAGCTTTGAGGCTTCCACCGTCAACCAGTTGCCAGAAACAGAGTAAGACATGTTCAGGGAGAGGAGCACTAGGGTGAGAGTCCAAGAGACAAGTGGGGCGTGAGGGACGCTGAGGAGGCGCCTGCCTGAGCCCAGCTCCTAGGGAGGGGCTGAGGGAGCTGCGGAGACGGTGGGGAGAGGAGTGCTGAAATGACCCAGTCCGTCCATCTGTCCAGTGGAAGAGCTGCTCCCGGCAAAGGACGTCAAAGCGCTGTTTGTGTCTGAGTTACTCAAGGACGGGAAGAAGATGCTGACTCGGAAGGAGGTCTACATCAAGAATGGGGATAAGGTGAGCAATGTGGGACCCTAAGGAGGTTCTCGACCCAGACTCTCCGAGCGAGCTGGTTCATCCCTCCCTTCCCGCCCACAGAAAGCCGCGTGTGAGAGAGATGCTCAGAAGGCCCCAGGCTATGGTAAAGTCAAGGACATCTCTGAGGTGGTCACCCCCAGGTTCCTTTGCACTGGAGGGGTGGATCCCTATGCTGACCCCAACACTTGCAAAGGTGAGAAAAGGCTCTTTGGTGGAGCTGCAAGTTCCCGAGGCCCAGGAGGTTCGCTGCAGCTTCTCCTCCCCTGTAGGTGATTCTGGTGGCCCCCTGATTATTCACAAGAGGAGTCGCTTCATTCAAGTAAGTCCCTCCTTTCCCAGCCGGGGGAGACGCCAAGTGGTCAGCACGGGCCCCAAAGCAGGAAAGGCCAACAGCTGTGGCTAGAAAGGGGAGGGCAGAGCCGCCTCGCCTTAGGACTACCCCTGAACTGAGGGCTCAGGACCACGGTGTGGCCTGGCTGCTGCGGAGGACGGGACTGAGGGGGTTCCTAGTCTATTTCTCCCAGGTCAGTGCAGGTGCAATGGGAGCAGCTGTGCTTCCTGAGGTGCAGGAGAAATTCTACCAGATGACCCATGGCACCCCGCGCCCCTGCAGGTTGGTGTGATCAGCTGGGGAGTCGTGGATGTCTGCAAAGACAAGAGACTGCAGCACCAGGTGCCTGCTCACGCCCGAGACTTTCACATCAACCTCTTCCAAGTGCTGCCCTGGCTCAAGGAGAAACTCCGTGACGAGGATTCTTTTCTATAGGGGTTTCCTGCTGGGAAGGGGTACGGGATCCAATTAAAAGAGCTGTGACAACACCTGTGTTCAACATCCTTTGGGGTAAGGGAGTGGGGAAGGTGCACTGGCCATCTTGCCACAAATGAGATAAAATCTAACAGTCGTTGTAAAAGGCTCAACCCAATCCCCAGTGCTGAGAAACCAGAGGCTGAGGGAGATGTGTGAGCTTCCACCTCGGTGCTTTACTGAGACCAGTGTCGGGGCAGGCGGGGCACAGCAGTTCACTCCGCCACCTAGAAGCCATCCACAAGGTTTTCCTTGTAGACATCGTCATTGTAGACAATCTGGGTCCTTTTGTCCCGATGGCAGCCCTTAGGACTGTTCTGGACGGCTAGGGAGGGAGGAAAGGATTAGTTAAGGCCTGAAGGAGAGCATTGGTGAGACCCCAGATGGAGTCTGACCCCACTCCTGGCCTCTGGTTCCTGGAAGCTGTTCTATGCTGCCCTCTGGTGGCCGGGACGGCCTGTCTCCCAGTGGCTGCCAAACCATCACAACACCCCAGCCAGCAGTGAGTGGTATGCTGTTATCACATGGGGATACTGTTAACAAATGGTTGGTTCTTAGAAAAACAGCAAATGTTATTATTGACACATCTGAATGGTGCTTACTACAGCTTTGAGTCAATACATCAAAAATTAAAAACTATCCTGGCCCAGTGTGCTCAGTGGTTGAGCGTTGACCTATGAACCAGGAGGTCACAGTTTGATTCCTGGTCAGGGCACACGCCTGGGTTGCGGGCTTGATCTCCAGTGCAGGACGTGCAGGAGGCAGCCAATCAGTGATTCTCTCTCATCATTGATGTTTCCATCTCTCTCCCTCTCCCTTCCTCTATGAAATTAATATTTTTTAAAAAGTTAAAAATGAGAAAATCTCTATAGCCCTTTGTTGACATGCTGGTCTTTTCTGAGCCCTTCCTTTCATCTGGAAGGTCACTCTTGCTCTGAACCCCTGTTCTGCCCCACTCCTTTGCCAGGAAAATCTATTTCTGCTAAAATGAGAAGTGCTACTCGCCCGACAGAACTCACTCTGGGGGTAGCTGTGGCCGGAGCATTCTCCCTTGAGCCTCGAGCTTTCCTTCCCTTCCTTGTTCCTCCCTGTACCCAGTGCGTCCCTCTCCTCACCCCATCGCCAAGGATTCCATCCCAGCCACTCTGGGGCTAGTGAACCCCCGACAGCAGCTCCCAGTCTTTGGGGTCTCTGTACTCTGGCAATGCTGACATGCCCTTTCTCAAAGCGGGTGGCCTCTGGCTTCAATGGCCTTGACCCTTCCTGCTGTCTCCGTTGCTGCATCAACCCCGGCCTAACATGTCAGGAGGGCTGGGACGAGCGGGGCACGGGGAACAGAGCCCTGCTTCCACCATATTCTCTGAATATTACCCAAGCCCAGTCCTGGGCCATTTTTTTCTCCAGAAGTCAGTCTCCCCAATGAGACTATCATTTTGTAGCCACCCCGAGATACAGAGACAGGTGACAATCTGTCTTCATTTCTCACCTCGTGCCTGAGTTCCAGTTCCTATTCCAAAACCAACTACACTTCACCTCAAAATGAACAAGGCCACGAGATGCTCATCTTCCTCATGAACCTGACCCTGCTCCAGTTACAGTTATTTTCAACCATTTTCTCTTCTTTCTCCTACTTCCAACTGACAGAGGGTCTGACCACTCTCCTTCCCATCCCCACAGCCCCCCACACACCCAGGCCTCCAGGGAACCCAGGACCTGCAGGGGAACAAGAAGAAGGGGTGAGCGGTGGTGTCAGGATGAGGAAGAACCTTGTTCTTACCGAGGGAGCCCCACACAGACTTGCCAGTGGCGGCATCCAGCATGGGCTGTTTGCGGGCAATGCTGACCTTGAGCTGCACGGACTCCACCTGCGTCCCGTTGAGCTGGGGCAGAGGAGGGAGGGGCAGAGGATGGGGAAACATTACAGACAAACCAAAGGAGAATTTCCACGAGCTGCCATCCTAGCAGTGGCCTGAGCCGGGATCTGAGAACATAGGTTTGCTGTGAGTGGGGAGGGGCTCTCAGGAGGTAATGATGGCCTCCGGCTCTCAGTACGTTAGAGAAAACACGAGGATGGCAGGAGGGTGGGAGGAACGGATCTGGGAAGTCCCACCTCAGCAACGGCCTGATCTGCTGACTCCATCTTTTCATAGGTGACGAAGGCACAACTGGATGAGAGGAGACAGGGTCAGTAGAGTGACGCGGGCTCTTCTTAATGCAGCCGAGCCCGATGCTACAGGCTGCTGGGGACGGGCTGGCCGAGGCCGCACACCCAACGTCCTCCTTACTTTCTGGGTGGGTCCATGGAGAGGTCAATGATGTTTCCGAAGGGGGAGAAGGCCCCACGGAGGAGGGTGGGCGTCATGTCTTCCCCATACACGTAGAGAGTGTTCCCCTTCCGAGGGGCCCGGCGTTCAGGGAACGAGTCCGACCCTGTGGGATCACAGACGTACCCTGGGTCACCCTCCACGTTAGCTGGAGCCACCTCCATCCTCGCTGAGGCTACTTTCCCCACTAGCCACGCCCACTCACTGCGGAAAGGGCCTTCTCGGTCTCGGTCTCGCTCCCGGTCCCGGTCTCGGTCCCGGTCTCTGTCTCGCTCCCGGTCCCGTTCTCTGTCCCGGTCCCGTTCTCTGTCCCGGTTCCGCTCACGACTGCGGTCCCGGCTGCGGCTTTCGGGGAGGGGAGACTGAGGAGCGGGCGTTACCACGTTCTTCGTAGCCCCATTCAAAGCTTCGAGGAGGGCCATCACCAGCCCCTGGGCCCTCTGCCTCCTCCCCTTCTGGCCCCAGGTCCCGAAGTCGGTCACTGGAAGAAACAAAGCTAGGGGAGGCAGACAGTGAGGATCAAAGGGGGCCTTTACCTTGTCTTTAAAGACCCTGTAGAGACTCAACACTTGCTCTGGAGCCCAGCTCCTCCCGCTCCAGCCCCATACCTCCCAAGGACCAGGCAGCCCCCCTCCACCCACCAGGACCCAGTCCTATTTCTAACTTGCTAACCTCTCGTACAGAGATTTCCTTTGGGGACGTCTGGACGACTGAAAAAGAGACCAAGTTTCAGTTAGGAGGACCCCTAGTTTCAGGCATGTGGGTCCCTCAGGGACAGAGGAGTGGGAGCCGTTACCTCCTGCAGATCGTCATCCGCAGATATGCTCCTCTGGAACGGCTGGAAAGTGGGGACCGGCCCCTTCTCAGGGTCCTGGAAGGAGGTAGAGACCTACCTCAGAGTGTGAGCGGGAGGTGGCCAACCATGCGACAGAGGAGAGGGGATTCCTCTTCCCTCACCCCTTCTCGCCTTCTGCTGGCCTTTTTTCCTTTTAATTCCTTTGTGTTTTTCTTTCTTTTTTTAAAAATATATTTCATTGATTTCTTACAGAGAGGAAGGGACGAGGATAGAGAGTTAGAAACATCGATGAAAGAGAAACATCGATCAGCTGCCTCCTGCACACCCCCTACTGGGAATGTGCCTGCAACCAAGGTACATGCCCTTGATCGGAATCGAACCTGGGACCCTTCAGTCCGCAGGCCGATGCTCTATCCACTGAGCCAAACTGGTTAGGGCTGTACTTTTCTTATTTGATTATGTGGTATTTCAAAATAAGTGACCCTGATATACCCGTAAAGTACTTAGTTTATCTCAACATTTCTTGAATCTGCTAACATTTCAGCCGGCTCACCTCCTGAGAACAACATAAGCCAAGAGCTCTCACACATGGACTGGAGCCAGACTGTGCAAAGTGCAGAACTCAGGAGTCACCCACTGTCTTCGCTCGGAGTGGCAGACCATTTGCCCAGGATCGAGCAGGCATTCCTTTCCCCCTCAACCTGCCTCCATTCCAGCGTAGAGGGATGCCCCTGAGTTAAGGGTCCCTGGACTAGCTTTCTGCTTGTGCTTACTTTTAACTTTCCCTCTAGGGTTCGAGAACGCTTGAAGCCCGAGTTCTTGGTCTCAGCCTTGATGGCACTGATGGCTCCTGACTTCACCAGCTGCTTCGCCTGCTCCGTTGCGGTGGCTGTGTCCACCACGGGCTGCTCTGACAGAGCTGGAGTGGGGAGGGAGAGGCGTTATGGCAGCCAGGAGGGAGAAGAGCCAGCCCTGTGCTCCGTTTCCCGTCACTCACAGCGTTTCACGCCGCCTTGGCTGGCTATGCTGCTGCTACTTTGCTTCTTCAGAGCCAGCAATGCCTTTTTCTGGGAATAAGAATGAGAAGAGAGGAGTTGGTGAGGGCCACCCTGACCAGATCCTTTCCCAAGGCCCCTGCCACATCACTCCAGGGGCTCCCTTTCTCAAAGAAAACAACGCAAATGGTGCTCCTGGAGTGGCTCGCTGAGGCAGCCCTAGACCATCTGCCGTGCCAGCGACACCTAAGCCACCCGAACCACGGTATCCAGTGACTTCCCAAAGTATCAAGTTTCTGAAGGTGAAGACGAGGAATTCAATCGTGGACCAGAGCTCCCGGGTATAAGCTGCAAGTACGCATAGGCCAGTGTTCGGCAAACGCATTAGTCAACAGAGCCAAATATCAACAGTACTTCTTCAAATAGACTCGCCCAGGCCGAAAACCGACTTCTGCGCATGGGCCACGAAGTTTCAATCACACTGTACGTGCACGCCCGCACGTGGTATTTTGTGGAAGAGCCACATTCAAGGGGCCAAAGAGCCGCATGTGGCTCGCGAGCCCGTTTGCCGACCACTGGCATAGGCCTACATGCCTTTCTTGGGGGCTTCACCCACCCATCTTCTGCGTACTTAACAAGAACACGCCTTTCATTACTTTATAGCAGGGACATGCAAAAGTATGAGACACAGTTCCTCCTGTGCAAGAAGCTTACAATCTCAAAAATAGAATGTCTGGACTAAATTGTCAAGAATGTTTATAAGAGATGCAAACTGCTCGAGAGCAAGTAAAATTTTCTGATGTCCAATGGCTATTAAACTGGACCCTGGGTAAAATCTGTACAACAGAGATGGAGAAAAAGAGCATTTTACACAAAGAAAACAGTGTGAAAAAAATGCAGATATAAGAAGGCTTTGGGAATGCATGTTTTGGGACTAGTGAATAGTTCTATTTTACTAAAAAGGGATACCAACTTAAGATTTTATTCCACAGACAATGTGAAACTACTTAAGGATTCTGAGAAAAAGGACAGTCTTGTGTTCCCAATGGATCATTTTAATAACAGTGAAGAAAACTGTTAAAAACACACACTAAGAAACGTGTTTAGAGACCATTACAACAGTCTACGTCAGGGGTCCTCAAACTTTTTAAACAGGGGGCCAGTTCACTGTCCCTCAGACTGTTGGAGGGCCGGACTATAGTTTAAAAAAAACTATGAACAAATTCCTATGCACACTGCACATATCTTATTTTGAAGTAAAAAAACAAAACGGGAACAAATACAATATTTGTATTTGCATGTGGCCCACGGGCCGTAGTTTGAGGACCCCTGGTCTACGTGAACATCAGCAAAGACCTGATGATTTATGGAATATGCAGGAAAAAAGAAATTATTTTCAAGAAAGAATCAAGGAGCCTGGCTGGTGTGGCTCAGTGGTTGGGCATTGACCTATGAACCTGGAGGTCATGATTCCATTCTCAGTCAGGGCACATGCCCAGGTTGCTGGCTCAATCCCCAGTAGGGGGTGTGCAGGAGGTAACAGATCAATGATTCCCTCTCATCACTGATGTCCCCACTTCTCTCACTCTCCCTTCCTTTCTGAAATTAAAAAAAAAATATATATATATATACATACACACACACACACACACACACACACACACACACTAGAGGCCCAGTGCATGAATTCATGCACCAGTGGGGTCCCTCGGCTGGCCTGTAGGATCGGGCTGAAACTGGCTCTCGGACATCCCCTGAGGGGTCCCAGATTGCGAGAGGGTGCAGGCCAGGCCGAGGGACTCCACTGGTGCACGATTGAGGCCTGGGAGGGACGCGAGAGGTTGGCCAGCTGGGGAGGGACCGCGGGAGGGCTCCAGGGCGTGTCTGGCCCATCTCGCTCTGTCCAGATCAGCTGGACCCCAGCAACAAGTTAACCTACTGGTCAGAGCATCTGCCCCCTGGTGGTCAGTGCACATCATAGTAACTGGTTGACCGGTTGAGAGTCTGCCTCCTGGTGGTCACTGCATGTCATAGTGAGTGGTTTAGCGACCTTAGCATATCATTAGCATATTATGCTTTGATTGGCTGAACGGCTGACTGGACACTTAGCATATTAGGCTTTTATTATATAGGATATTAAAAAAGACAGCAATTGTTTGGCTATGCAAATGGAAAAGTCAGAGATGAGATTTAAAAAAATTGATTTGAGAGAAACACTGGTGTGCTGCCCCCCTTACTGATTTGATTCTTGTCTGTGCCCTGACCCGGGACTGAACCTGCAACCTTGTGTGTCCGGACGATGTTCTAACCGGCCAGGGCAGAGCTGAAATGTGTGATTCCAAACACTCGGAAGAACTGAATGTGGTCGGTCCGTATTTGGAAGATGAAGAAATGGAACGAGGTTAGGCTCCGAGGAAGATGATGGCTTTTATTTTGGGTAGGTTAGGGGTATCAGTGAGACCAGACGGAAATGGGAAAACTACACTGGGGAGCGCCAGCTTCAGGAGGATGAAAGCCGCGGGGAAGGGAGGCAGCTCCAGGGCAGGCTGATAGGACAGACTGGCCCGCTCCGAGCCACACCGCGGGCGGCCCGCCACACCCCCTCACCTTTTTCTTCAGTTTGTTGAATTTCTTCTGCAGAGCCTCCTCCTCCTCGCTCAGTCCGGGGGGTATCACCAACATGGTGGCTCCTGGTTCAGGGGCGGGGCCAAGACATCTTTCTCCACCGGCACTGACTGCTGGGGTCGCCTCTCCCAGCCCTGGCTTAGGCTCGGGGGCCCAGCACCCCGCCTCGCTAGGATTCACGGACAGCAGCCCAGCGGCACCACGTGGACCGGGAGAAACACCCTCCGTCGCCGAGACGCTGGCACCAGAGCCCCCCTACCCCACGGGTCAGCATGGCCACCGCGGGGTCCCAACTGCAGAGGCGGCGGCGGAACCCGCGCAGCGCCCTCGGAACACCGGAAAAGGGAAGAAGGAAGGAGCTCGGAAAAGGGCGCAGGGTGCGGAGGAGGGCGCCTTAC